GGGGGTGGCTCAGTAAATACGGGTTCTTCAAATTACTTTTCTTCTAAAATTGCATTGAGATTATGTTCAGTTGATTGTAGACATTAGCTAAAAAGTCGAGTTACCTTAATTTATATATATATTTTTTTGATTTTAAGAAAATCGCATTTATAACTTGAAATTTGTAAAAAAAAAATCGTGGTATAAGTATTTTGTTTTAAATAATTTTACTTTTTATTTATTTTTTCTCTCGCATGCACACGTATGCAACGGCCAACGAAAGCAAGAAAATAATATTATAACTAAAATTTTGTGACTTCAGAATGCTTTAAAAAATGTGAATATAAGTCTAAATGAAAATCTTAATTACAATATGTATGTATATATGTTTAACATAGCTTCTAATTAAGCTCAAAAATTAATTGCAAATTTTTGTTTCAACTGCAATTTTTTTGCAATGCTGCAAGCAATAAAAACTGATAACATTTCAAAATTTCGTTTGTGAACTGTTGCATCTCGTCTTAGTGGCTAATATTTTGTTTAATATTTTTTGCTTCCTTGTTTTGTCTGCTTTTCCATGATAGTTAGTTTTTCTTAATAGTTCAGCTTTTTTTTAAATTTTTTTTATTTATTTTTTGTCATCTCCATACATCTTAAAACTCTTGTTTTTCATCTGCACTAAAAACATTTTTAAAACGTCATTACAAATATGCTTACATAAATCGGTTTGGGTTAGGGCTTGGGTTTTTATTTGGTTTTGCCATATTTCACAACACTTTTCCATATATCATTGCTCAGAAGTAACTACATAATTGCTACATGCATACATATGTATTTATGTAAAATGTTTTCATACTCTGTACTTTTAATTTGAGTACCATGTGTTTTAGAAACAGTACTTGGTTTTCGAAAAAAAGTTTGCTAAAAATTAGCATTGATGCTAAAAACAGACCCGAAGTAAACAAGTGGCTTCTCAGAAAAATGTATGTATGTCGGCTACTAAACATTAAATATATTTTTATGCATTAATTACTTTAAGCGTTTTCATTTTTCGGGTCTCTTTTTAATTTCAAGTTTTTGTTTTTAATTTTTTCAACTTTATTGTAGCTTTATTGATACTTAAAATTTCCAATGGTTTCTGGTTTTTGCTTCAATCTCGTTTTATTCATAGGTTTCTTATGCATTACTGAACTCTCTACTATCATTCCTAGTTTTACACTTTAGCGAAAATTTCTTCAGGCCCACTATTTCCCTAACAACTTATATTTGCTTTCCTTCTTTTTCGTTTGCTCTCCGAAGATGAGGGGGCGGGTTGGATTTGCTTCACGCACTAAATGTACAATACATATGCAAAAAATTGTGCAATTTACAAATATAATTTGACACTTCTTAAGGTATATGCGATTATCACTTTGTTGGTTTAATTAATTTTCGTTACTTCGTTATTTGCAAATTTAATTTGTTTCAGTAATAATCATAAGTTCATTTTACAAAGTCTATTTAGCACAAGGCTGCAAACATCGTTGTGTATTTGCAGCGTGATTTTTTGTGAATATTTACTTTTCCTGGATGACCACTACGGCATAAATACCCAATTGTGTATGTATGTTGGTATATTACCCATTCAAACAGTGCTTAACATGCTAAGTAGGTAATGTAAAGTATTATAATTATATTATAATCGCATACAATATGAAATGTGTACCTTATAGCTATTGGTTTTATCTTTTAACCATTAATGACAGTATTTTTAAATTTATAAAACGTCTCCTCTTTAGTCTTTAAACATATTTGTACATATAAATGTACTTGACTACCTCAAACAATCGTAATATGTTGATTATATAGTTATCTAAATACTATACAACTAAAGTATAAACTAGTGTAATGTAAATGTATTGCATAATCAAGATAAAGTATCATACAAAACTAAAGCTAAAACTAAACACATTTTAGTATTACAAGAAAATAGTGTTTACATGTATAAAATCATAAAATCATCACATACGATGCACAACTAATTTCATTATCATTCTTTTGTCAGACAAGCTCGCAAATTTCACTTACTTTTTCTTCTCTCCTCTCATTACTGCATTCCTCTTATACGTATCGATGTGCCATTGTTTACTACAGTCAGCGCTTAAAAATATGTTGCACTCATAAAATCAAATGCAACAAAACTACATTTAAGCGTTTTCCAGTAAAGTGGTTTCGTTCTTTAGCGGAATACTACACATACAACGGTTTGCTATACCCTACACTTATGCCACAACATGACTATTCTTATTCAAATCGGTTAATAGTACCGCATCAAGATCTTCTGCGTCTAGCAGTTCGGCGCATGCGTCACCGTTGACAACATTTGAAGTTAGCATCAAATTGTTAGCACCTCCCGCTGCTGTTACAACGCCACTACCGCCATTTGTATTCACATGCGCAGCTAAATCGCCATTGACAATGACCAAGCCATCAGGAGAATTTCGACGACGTTCGCGTTCGCGCACAATATGAGGCGCTTCGTTAAATTCATCCAACTCGTCCATGCCTTAAAAAGCGATCTTTAAGAAGAATACCTACATTTCAAGTGTATGCATCACTTACCTGTATACTTATTGCCGGCTAGCAGCAAATACTGTCCCGCACGGTTTGGCCACAGCAGGCCAGTCATTACACAATATGCCAGGCAGTCAGCTGAATTGGTGATGCCTAGCAGTAGCTTGTAGCGCCACATGGGACTCACTTGAAGAGCCACAATGGCCACAATGGGCAAGTAGATGAACCACACTAAACTAGAGGCGCCTAGGTGCAATAGGAAATCGAGCTTTTTGGTGGAATGCTCATATTTCATGGTGTTGCGTAGTTCGTAGAGGAACCAAGTCATAAATGATGTGCTAAAGGATAGGGGAAACGCTTAGTAATCGTTAAAAATATGCATTAAATTAAAACAATACCAAAATTATTGCTTTAACCTATACAATTGGACAAACTAGTTTCAGAATCACTTTTACTTCTCTTCAATCTATTCTAAGTAGCAGAAAAAGGAAGGTTATATGTATTCTGAATACAATTTCGGATTTTAAAGTGTGATCAGGTTGCAGAACGTCTGTACTGCAGACCCCCACTGTATACAGGGTGTCCAGTGGCAGAATTAGGAATTAAAAGCTAAATTAAAAAAGAATTACAAATGATAAAAGTTTATTTCAATAACTATTACAAAGAAGGCAAGTGCGGATTTTGTTTTTTAAAAATTATTCCTCTAAAAATGTTGACCGTTGCGTCGGACACACTCTTCAAATCTGGCCTCCGTAGTCCGAGCCACTCGCTGGAGAAGTGATGTTGGGATACCATTAACCTCACGAACGATATTTTTTTAGTGCTGAGATGGTCGCTGGGTTTTTTTCGTAGACTTTACTTTTGAGGTATGCCCACCGAAAAAATCCATAGGGGTAAGATCGTCGAAGGGGTCGTCGTAGGGGAAAACGTCGAATATTGTAACGTGGACAAAATCTACGACGAGCAGTTGCACACTAATCATTGACCTTGAAATACGCTTCGATTGCGAACGCATGTTGTTTACCCGTCCACTGAGACATCGTTATTAAATAACCAGCATGAATGACGAAGCTGACGCTGTCCCCACGCCGCCGATACGCTCAGCGGTTAGGGAGAAACTGTAAATCTAAGACCCAATTCTGCCACCGGACACCCTTTACATTAATCCAAGCCCTGTCCTAATGTTTTCGCGTCTTCGATAGCTTTACAATAAACGATTTTTATACAGAGATCGTAATACCATTGTAAAGAGTACTTAATGAGTAATCAAATTTAGTGTCAACGACACAAGAGGGCAGTCAGTCTACTTACAAGTCGCCCTTCAGTCAGAGAATGTTTTCATTCCTGCCTCAGGAGATTGATTATTCCAGTCATGAAGTGTGTTTTATGGAACCAAGTCTGATTCAGACCCTTGCGTTGGATTCATAATTGGTAGTATATACTTTATAAACTCTGACCTACCGTAGTATTAATACAATCCAACCTGGCCAGGTTTGGTACTCATCAATGTCTGATATAATATCCACCTCCGTCTGCAAAAGAACATTTGAGTATAATATTTTTAAACAAATTATATTACTGATAAACTTACCTTATCCCAAACATAGAGGAACATTTGAAACGCACAATAGGGAACCCAAATGCTCATCAAGATTATCCAACCAGTGCGATTGATTTGCTGACGTGTAACGGCCCAGCCTTTAGCCAGCAACAGTAGAATTAACATGAAAGTGGTCTATAAAAATAACAATTAGTCAACAAATAACTTAATTTATGGGAAATACAAAACCGCAATTATAACACGTACTCTACTAAATATATCCAAAATATCGCCTGCGGTCTGCATGTTTGGCATCCCTACGCCGTTCATGGCGAACTTTATCAAATGCGCTGTAATGAAAACCAAACTGACAAACTCGCTCGCCAGGCTAAGCGTGAAGAGACGTGTAACTGGATGTTTTTGCAAACGCACCGCATATATTTGCATCGGTAGCAGCACCAGATAGACTAGTAGGAAAATCATATACATTTCCAGCAAATTTTGCTGATCGAATGAGAATTGGAAAGAAAGTGGATGCGCAGCAGAATTGTTAGGATGTCCATTGACAACGTATATATCGTAGGTCAGAGCGGGCGAGGGATGAGGTGGGAGCATGTCGTTGTGTGATGCAAGGAATTCGTTAACCACTTTGGCTGCCGCACTCTCACTTTTGGGATGATCATAGGCATGCCATTCGCAGTTAGTGCTATTACGATAGCAGGCAGTGAGCGCAACATACCAGAATCTACAAAAGGTGAAGAAGTGAGATTTATTGAATATTTTGTAAAATTAACTTTAAATATTTGGTAAAATATAGACATTAAATACTACGAAACTAACAGCAAATAAACTACAAAGAGCTGACGAGAGATAATTAAGTTCTTCAGAAAGTAAAGAATCAACAGAAATAATATGATAAAAAGTTTAGTGTGTATAAGTACGTATCGCTAGATAAGATAGTCTCTTTTGAAAGTATTGTGAACCTTCTTCAAAATAGTACATTTTTACGAATATGTTAGCTACAAGCATTTCAACTTTCAAGGAATTGATAACAAAATAGTATGCACATACGCAAATACTCACAAGCGGAGGCTATCTAAATAAACACAAAGGGATGTGCAGATAAAGCAACGAAAATTCACACCATAAACTGCCATACAGGCTTTTGCACTCATCTTATTGATTCATTAGCCTCCAGACGAACTAATTTACCCTGTTGTCTGCTGAACTCCAGCTGGAGTTCACTTAACGCTTACACTCTATTTTGCCTTACTTTTCTTATGTCTTCTCTCACTTTTACTTTCTTATTGCAAGTTGAGTTAAACTAGCTTATACGTAATTGTCTTTAAAAGGTGAAAGGAACGCAAATTTTAAACATTCAAATAATAGAGCAGTCCATCATTAGTGATCAGTTGCGTGATCAAAAACCAGCTATGGATTACATATGTATGTACACACATACATATGTATATTATTTTGGGAAAACGATTTTACGTCTACGCTCTTATCGAATCTCTAATCTACGCGCTAAGACAGGGAGTGTGCAAAGATATCACAAATGGCTTTGATTTAAATTATAAAATTATGTCGTAGCGTGGCCAGTATACGCGTTAGGACTAGTCCACCTCTGTAGAAATAAAAGTTGCTTGGCAGGTATTTATGATATGTGCAATGCAATAAGCAAAAAGCAAGTTCGAAAACTTCCACAGAATTGCTTGATGCTTCACTACAGCATTGCGAAAAAAACGACACTGGCAATGTAAGCAAATTTAATTAAAATTCTGCGAAATATTACATTTAAGTGCTTCCATCATTTACGTTTGCCTTTGTGCACTTTTCTATTCTTTAAAACGCTTGTTCCTCAGATAATTTCTTTATGCTTTCCTTTTTGACTCCGTACACATTTTCCCTAGCAACTCATATTCCTCTCCGCCAACTCACTTACCTGGGCTCCGTCACTTCGCTAATGGTGTAGGTGAACTGTTTTTCTGCTATCACATTGCTGGGCGTATCCTCGTCTGCACACAGCTCGCCTCTATTACATGGTACACGTCGCACATAATCGCGTTTACCTTGCTTGTTGCATACGCCGTCATATATCAGACCTTTCAAATGTTCAAACATGTGTCGACAGGCCTTTTCACGATCATCAAATATGCGATTGCTATAGAAATCCACAAAGGCTGCCTTGTCCAGCACCACTAATGAGATGGGATGCGCAAATGTGTCGGTTGCTGTGATGTTGCCGTATATGTAGCCGTAGGAGCCGCCGTGTGGAGTAGGGGCTTCGGCCTTTTGGAAACCAAATTTGGTTATAACTTTGAAAAACTCACCAGTATGGAAAGTCCCTGTTAAATGTATAGCGCTACTATACTGCCAAAGCGCTTGAAAGGCATACAACCAGCTGAGAGCGTTGAGCAGCAGTCGCGGCAATGAGGGCGGCCGCTGCCGCTTCATAATGCAAGTGCAATGTTTTATTTTCCGACTTTTCGATTTATGCTGTGTTGGCGTTGCGTTTATTGTGCGTTTATGTGTTGTCTATTTTTTTTTTCAATTTTCAGCTAAAAACATTCATCTATTCGAAGTGCTGTTGCGATTGGGCGGAGTATCGCAATGAATTTTTTTGCATATACAAGTTTTACAATACGTAACAACATTTATTAAGAGGTTCTTAGTTAGTTTTGCAATACCATTTTGGCGATTTTCACATTATGTACAGCGCAAAATACTACNGGAGTATCGCAATGAATTTTTTTGCATATACAAGTTTTACAATACGTAACCACATTTATTAAGAGGTTCTTAGTTAGTTTTGCAATACCATTTTGGCGATTTTCACATTATGTACAGCGCAAAATACTAGTTTCCAAGTCTACTGCTAAAATTTAACAAAAATACACCAGTGCACACACACGCGAAATGAAAATAAAACAGCCTGCAAAAAGTCAGTGCTGTCAAACGACCAAACTTGCCAGATTCTTGTGAATAAGTTGCCTAGCACCCCGTTTACACATGGCAGGGTTTAAAGACGTGAATTTGAAAATTATGTTTTGGTGTTGTTGCTGTTTTTTTTGTTCCCACAAACGGCAGAGCTCTTACCTTTAACTAGCATCATCGGTCAACCTTCCAATGCACGTATATACATGCTGTAGGTACCCGAATACTAAATTTCGTTTCTGAAGACTGTTCTCCGCAAAAGTTTTACGATGTCAACAGGAATGACAGAAAACAAAATTGAACCGTCCTGGCGGCGATGACATTTGCGTAACACAAATATACAAAGCCGAACTGAATGTTGAAAGAATATATCAGAATAGCCAATTTTCTTAATATTAAATTTTTCGTAAGTAAACGTGTTTTAATTGTGCTATATTGTAAAAATATATAATTTACGATAAGAATTAATAAGGAAAATGTAAAAAAGTGGTATTTTTGTGCAAATATTAGTGAATTTCTTTGCATTTAAAGTTTCTGAGGCGTCGTTTACTTGTTGACCAGAATTGTCAAAATCGGCCACAAAGTAGCGATTAGTTGAATAAAAAGTTGAACGAAAGTAGACAGCCGACTAACTTCATTGAAAGCGATTAGTTGAATGGCCGTTTACACCAGGCGATTATTGATTTCAACCGCCTCATGTAAATTCCCTATAAACGATATCGCACGATGTATTTAGGTTTTGCCGATTTGTTTTCAATTATCAATTAAAAGTAAGCAACGCTTCACTTAATCGAAAAATCTAGATTTTTCCATAAACATCTTTCAAGCAGCATTTCAAGCCTTCAAACCATACACCATACATAGGATTTCAACTTAAGAGAAATTTCGGACTTTTTGACAAACCTATTGTGTGGTGTACTTGGCTCTTTAGTCAAAGGCATATAACGGAAATTATTACGCGTTCTTTGTCAAAAGCGAACGGTTTCGAGCAAGGCATATTTTTAGGAAGTTTGGTTATTTGTTAGACTTAACATATTCTACCTGTCAAGCTTATTAATTGCGTAATGAAATCTCCAAAAACGTAAATTTTGAGTTACATCTCTATATTATTAAACGTACGATATGTGCTACTTAAAAAACGTAGTCAAAGTCAATCGTATTAAAAGCATGCCCTTGTTATCGTATATCTGTCTTTCGTGTAACTTTTTCTGAACTCTGTGTTGTTGTACGTCCAAAATGTCCAGCAACTGCTGTAAACTACCCCCTATATTATTATTCTTTTTAGGCACAATATCAATAGTGAAGCGCCTCGCTATTGAAAACTATGATTTTGTCACAGTTTTAAATAACATTGCGAAACTGCGAAGTATTGAGGACTTATGATAAAAATAGGGTGTATTAAGGAAAACGTAACCAGAACTGGTTGGATATGCCACTTCAATTGATTGAAAAAAAATACTTGCAAATTCCAAGATGATCAAGTGTCAGGCCTAGTACAGGAAGTATCATTTCATACATTGTTGCTAATTGTAAGCACCAGGTAGAACAAAGCTGGAAAGCGCAGTTCTTGGAAAGTTGTATCCATGCTGAATGCCTCCGAGGAGTTTTGCGGGAAAATTATGAAATCTATGAAATACTTCTACACCTTCCGTCCAAATATTCGGTTGAGAAACCGCTGGCGCTGTTTATATATCGTCGTCTCAGAAAACGGATGTCGAATGTTACAAATCACGGTTTTGAGAAAATCGACTTTAAACTTTAAACTGAAATTATTTCGAAGCTACACGGTAGATTATTGTAATTTTTGGATCAGGCCTAATTCATATTATGATTTTTAACATTGAATGTTTTCGAATTTAATATTTTCAAAACTTATTGAGAAAATGGACCTTCAATTCTGCATACATTTGTCGTATGTTACGTTTGCTCACAATTCTGTTTTGTCCATAGGACATACGACAAATGCCAAAACATTTGTTATATTCACAACGTGTCACAAAGGTTAAATAAATGTTTAGATGACTTGAAACCACAACCAACTGTTTTTTAACGGTGCGAAAATTCATAAAATGGCTTTTATAGTACCTTAAGAACCCCGCAAATA